ACCTGCGGACGTGGCAGGTAAACAAACCGGCCCACCCTGCCGGGGGCTTTCCCTAAACAAGCGGCGTCCCAAGTTTGGGAAACACTGCTCTAAGGGGACTTGAGTTGGGGGCATTTCCTGCCTCCCAAATCATCAGCATCAAGCATTCATCAGAAGATGGAGGCTATATACCTTGTATCTTTTCAAAGGATCAGCAAATTATACTCTACTCCATCACATGCTCACATTCTGCCACTCTGCATTACTCTACATTGTGATGTCCTGTCCTTGTCAGTGGGATCCTTGTAGCTGTCTAGGGAGCATCTCTATTTATCCTTGAAAAGGTCGGGGCAAAGATTAACACTTTATTGCAAAGAAATAAAATGCTGAAGGTTAGAATGAAAAAAGGGGTGTGTATTTCGTTTTTTAAACTTCATGATGGTACATGTTAATATTGTTTCTCTTCTTTTGTTATTAGAAAGCAGATGACGAGGTGGATATAGTATTGTTGGGTAACAAGTGTGATAAGGAGACAGAACGTGTAATTCCAAAGGATAGAGGAGAAAAGGTAGGCATTGATCACTGGTGTTTTCTCCTAGCCCTGCAGAGTATTTTGGCATTTGAATGTGAACTCTGACCGTAAAAACTAAAATGTTCCTGAGTCCAAATATTTTGTTATGAATTGCTGCAAAAGAATACTTCTTTAATATATTAGCAGAATATGGCCAATAACTTTACTAGTTGCTATCTTTAGAACACTGATTATTATAAAAGTTTAACTTTAAAACATTTTTATTGTATACTTTCTAGCAGAACACCTGAAAACTCTTTTATTTCAGAGTTAGACTTTAAAAATAGTTTGGAGTCTGCATTTTCAGGTTATTGTTTTTAAGTGGGATGTTAAAATACAATACTTATTTCATTCCACGGCATTTTTCTAAAACATGATATATCAGTAATCTTCGTCAACAGAATCTATGACTCTTGCATTGCTGTCTTTAAGGCATGATTTTCATTGTCTTGTTCACAAGACCACAAGCAACAGAAAGTCTGGAGTTGCGTTACTCTATTGTACCCCTTTGAGTCTATGAAATAAAAATATCACTTCCTTAACAATATCACTTAGTATCAATCAATGAGAGGAAAAATAGGCCCAACGACTGCAAATTTGGGTATGCAGAGGTCTTTTAGGGGGTACATCAACTCATCCACATATATGCCCAGTTTTACAACAGGCTACGTAAAAAGCACTAGCCAAGTCAGTACAAACTAAAATTTCATATAGACAATGACTTGTTTATACTGCTCTATATACTATACACTGAAATGTAAGTACAATATTTGTATTCCAATTGATTTATTTTATAATTATATGGTAAAAATGAGAAAGTAAGGAAACTTTTTCAGTAACAGTGTGCTTGTGACACTTACTATATTTTTCTGTTTGATTTGGTAAGCAAGTAGATTTGAAGTGAGATGAAACTTGGGGGTACGCGAGACAAATCAGACTGCTGAAAAGGGTACAGTAGTCTGAAAAGGTTGAGAGCCACTGCTATAGGTAGGGCCCTACCAAATTCACGGCCATGAAAAATGCATCACGGACCGTGAAATCTGGTCTCCCACCATGAAATCTGGTCTTTTGTGTGCTTTTACCCTATACTATCCAGATTTCATGGGGGAGACCAGCGTTTCTCAAATTGGGGGTCCTGACCTAAAAGGGAGTTGCAGGGGGGTTGCAAAGTTATTTTAGGGGGGGCATGGTATTGCCAGCCTTACTTCTGCGCTGCCTACAGAGCTGAGTGGCGGCTGGTGGCTGGGCGCCCAGCTCTGATGGCGGTGCCCCGCCAGCAGCAGTGCAGAAGTAAGAGTGGCAATACCATCCCATGCCACCCTTATTTCTGTGCTGCTGCCTTCAGAGCTGAGCGGCCAGAGAGTGGCAGTGCTGACTGAGGGTCATGTCATTCTTACTTTTGTGCTGCTGCTGGCGGTGGCTCTGCCTTCAGAGCTGGGCTCCAGGACAGCAGCCTCCGCTCTCCAGTTGCCCAGCTCTGAGGGCAGCACCGCCGCCAGCAGCAGCGCAGAAGTAAGGGTTGCAGTACCGCAACCCCCCATAAAATAACCTTGCAACCCCCCCCCCAAACACAACTCCTTTTTGGGTCAGGACCCCTATAATTACAACACTGTGAAATTTCAGATCTAAATAACTGAAATCATGAAATTTACAATTTAAAAAATCCCATGACCATGAAATTGACCAAAATGGACCATGAATTTGGTAGGGCCCTTGCTATAGACCAAGGAATCTCTCTGGCACCCCCTGCTGCTGTTTACATATATCACAGGCAGCCACTTAACATGCTGCTCTCTCTCATTGAGTATACAACGCTGCTTACATAAGCAGTCAAGTTTGTGACCCACTGTCTTGAGAGAGCAAGATGCAGGGTCTTTTCCATTGAGGGCTCATGCTGTTGCATCTCTCTTCCTCCATTTGTTCACCGTAGCTTATCTTTGGCATCCTTCACAGTGGGACTGAATTCTCTTTTTATTGTTGTGATTTTATCTTCTATTTTGGGTTCCACTGTTCTTTGCACTTTGGGGAGTTGGACTGAGGAAGGTTCTAATTTATAAATAAATAGCACTCCAGCTATAATCAGCAATATGTTTATTCTGTGGCCATGGAATTTGCTGCATGTTGAATTTTGCTTCCAAATCTAAGTTTTCTGCAGTTTTTAAAGTTATTTCTAGTCCTAATCTTTGTGAAAATGTGAATGGAAATGTTGTCTTCCTGACTGTGCAGACAGCCTGCAGCAATAACCCTAAGACATGTACTAGCTGTTCCATTCATATCAATCAATTTTAACAATGAATTATAAATAGGGTGACCAGATGTCCCGTTTTTATAGAGACAGTCCTGTTTTTTGGGACTTTTTCTTGTATAGGCGCCTATTACCCCCCACCCCCGTCCCGTTTTTTTCACAGTTGCTATCTGGTCACCGTAATTATAAAGATGATGTGTCAGATCCTCAGGTAGTGTAATATGACAACGTTCCACTGAAGTCCATGGACCTACGCAGATTTATGTTAGCTGAGGATATGGCCAGAGAGTTTTGAATTTCAGCATTGTTAACCCTTTTGCTGCTGAACATTTTCTCAGACATATCCAGGTAAAGTACTTATCCCACATTACCAGATCACCTTCCATGCCTTCTTAGGTAGAGCTGATCCACAAAAATATGGCCTTTTGACCAAAGTGAGAATTTTCTTGGAAAATTTTTGTTTTGTTGAATTTCTGGGGCTTTTTTAATGAAAAAACAGAACATTTGGGGTTTTCAAAAAATGAAAATGGGGGGGCATTTTATTTTTCTCATCTTTTTCTTCCATTTTTTACTTTCATCTTACTTTTCTAGTGGGGAGGAAAAACCAACAATGTTTTCTTTCATCAAAAACTGAACAGATTCTGAGAAAAATTTCAAACATGACCATTTTGATTCTTTTTTAGAAAATTTTCATGAAATATAAATAGCATTTTTTTGACCGGCTTTGTTCTTAGATGCCCAAAGCCCCAGCTGCCAATACCTGCAGCTTCTCCCTAACCATTTCTGCAATGTGACAACATACAAATCTGGAAGCACGTGGAAAACTGAAAATGTGAGAACTGTGTAAAATGTATTGAATATCAAAATTAATAATACAGGGGCTACTGTACTGATTGCTTTATTTGCTTTCACACTTAGATAAACAAAACATGTATTTTTTTTAATTTAAATGGAGCTGCCTCAAAATGTCCATATTGATGTACTGGTGTGCCTCAGAAACCAAAGGGCTATGCTTCAAAGTACACAAGTCCTTGGATGTAGTTAAGATTGCGTAATCATTTATCTTATAACCTCTAGGTGCAACTTGCTAGAAAGGGAGTGAGAATAGTGGAGCTGAGTGTGTGTGTGTGGGGGGGGGGCGGGGAGGGCACATAGGGAGAAGTATGCTGTACCTTTTAAAGAGCCATAGCAAATTACGCTCTCTCAGAACCCACTGGGAGATCAGGGAGGTACATCCTGATATTGTGGCTATAACTCTCAGCATACACTGGCTTTTGCTGCTGAAAATTGTATGCATGCATAAGGTTTGTAAGCAGCCTTTATCTCATTCATAATATGGACACTCCATCAGGCAGAGTCCCCACCTTATATGAGACAGGGTGTTTTGTTAGCATTTAACCATTTTTTTAAGATTATGAAATTCTAAAGTAATAATATAATAAATAATAATGTCACCTTGTGAACAGTAGTGCAAGCTGTATCTTTTAAAGTGCACAGTTCCCTCATTCATTATACACATTGAATTTGAAGATTTTCATGGAGTTTGTCTAGCCTGCACAGAGTAGTACAAGATGTTCTGTGTGTGTATTTATATACCATTTTTAAACAAAGTGATCATGTAACTGGAGTCTATTATAATGCATATACACAAGGGGGCAGTGTTAAGGTTTCACAGACTGTTAAATATGGTATTTTCTGACTTCTGAATGCTTAACCATGCAACCATATATTTCTTTTAACAAATTTTTTTTTTTAACAAATCATTACCTCTTCACCAGCCAGTCTGCTCCCTAGATTTCTCCGGTGTTTTGAAGCACTCTTTAGTTATACTAAATGTTTCTTTTTCTAATATGATTTCAGAACTCTAGAGAATCCTGAATGAGTCAGTTGGTCAAAGGTTCCATAAGCAAGGAAATAGCTAACACTGTCCACTCACTCCAATTTTAAAAAGTGTATATTAATGAAAAGAAAATCTTAGAATACCAAGTCTGCCAATGAGTGATTCAGATTCATCTATTTTATACTACACTCAGAACTGCAAGCCACAAGAATTGTTCCTTTGCAGAATCCTGCAGGGAGGATTTATGGATCCTGCAAGATTCTCCTGTATATTGGCTCTTCCTGAAGGTACCTCAAAATTCTGGACACATTATCCCATTTTATAGTAGAAAAACCCAGTTTCATTGAGAGAATTTCTTATAAAACCATTTGATTTTGTAATTCTCTCACTTCTGCCACTTGGAAGATGACATTTATGTCATACAATTTAATCTTGACAGTATGAAGTAGTTTATATTACAAATAAGTTTCTTTTTTTTGTGGTCATTCATTTTGACAGAAATTTTACCTATTTAAAAAGCAAAACTAGTAACATTATCTCTCTTTCTCAAGAGTAAATAAAATCTTTCCCCTAAATCAGTGGTTCTCAACCAGGGGAATGTAGAGGTTTCCAGGAGGAAGAACAGCTCATCTAGATATTTGCCTAGTTTTACAACAGTCTCTAGAGCCCTGTAGCGGGACAGGGATCCTGCAGGTCCTGCAGAACCCACTGCCATAATAACAGGAGTAGAATAAAAATTCAGCAAACAATGTAGGAGCGAGTGCGAGTGGGTATTGCGGGACGGGAGCAGGATTAAAAAAATAGTCCTCCCACACCATAAACAATATGAACTCCCCAGCCAGCAGCCGCCACTCTTCGGCAGCTCTGAAGACAACAGCGCCACCAGCAGCAGCAGCGCAGGCTATAGGTGGC